AAATACTCATTTGCACTGTTACATCTTGCTGTACATAGCTTCCACAGCCTTCCACTTGTGTCACTCCTGTTATAATTATGGTTTATGTTGCTCTTTTATCCTCTAGCTTACTAGCAGTAGAAACTTCTCCATCAAAATGAACAACAGCTCCAGTGCATCAATGCCCAATGGTAAGGCGGACATTGTGATTATGTTCCTCCACGTCGTTGGTTTAGCTCCTGTAGCTTTTATAGCCAAACTTGTCAGCAAGTAAAACACCCGCACTCAAAGCACCCGTTTAACATCGTCGCTTAAATCGCTACGTAGGTTAGATTTTCACATTCATCGAGAAAATTTGTTTTCATCAGCCGGGGTCAGCAGTTATCACCAGCTTGTCATGCAGAAAGTCCATGAGCCATGGGAAAACTCAGTCCACTGTTTTTGCAGACGATCAACACTAACTGAACATAAAGTAGAGAGGTGATTTAAAGTGGATTCCTTTGCTAAGCTAATCCTGCACTACCTACACCCGCTGAAAACCTTTACCAAAGAAATTCTGATAATAAAAAAGGGTTGGGAAAGTCCGAAAACGGCTTTTTGTTAGTAGCATTAACTTTTAATATTTAGGCAATTTTCGTTTCCTTCTGCAGCACCAACAGCCCTATTCAAAATTGGAATAAAATGTGCATATGCGGTTATATTTACCATCGCTTTGCTCGGCAATTCAATCGGGTTGTTGGTAGTCTTAAAGAGGTCTCACTCTACCAGCGCCATGAACTTGTTCATTGCTAACATGGCCATCGCAGATTTGATGTTGACGTGTACAATGATGCCAGTTCAAGAGAATTTCATTCATGGGGATGTTTCTTGGATTCCGGGAATATTGGGAAACGTTACATGCAAGTTGGTGTTCAACATTATCCCAGTTTCCATAGCGGCAACTGTGTTTACAATGATGTTCATCTCCTTCAATCGATTTTACTCCATATTCTATCTACTAAAACAGAACGTCTTTCGCAAGCCAAAAATACTATGCACAATAATTTGGATACTATCTTTAGTGCTGATAGTCCCATATCTTTTGTTGCACCAAATAGAGTTTGTACCTCAATTGAACAAGCATTTTTGTTTGCAAGTGTGGCCATGGTAAGACAAAAACGATATTACATATGCTGAAACCTATCGCGTACTTAAGATCTTTCACATCACGATTTTCGTTGTACTGTACACATGGCCTCGATAACCATTGTAGTCTACACCGTAATTTGTCGTAAATTGTGGCTCCGAAAGATCCCGGGAAATGTGACGACTGCCAATCTTGCCGCGGCTCAAAAATCCAAACGCAAAGTTGTGCGGTTATTAGTTGTAATCGTCTTGGTCTTTGCAATCTGCTGGTTCCCATCTTATATTAATCAATACATTTGGTTTGCGACCTGAACTTAGCAATTCGTTACCTGCTGAAGTACAGCTATGCTTCTTGTGGCTAGGGCACGCAAACAGCGCAATAAATCCATGTCTATACATCCTGTTAAATAGCAAGTTTCGTAAAGAACTCGTCACTATAATAACTTGTTGTCCTCGTTAATAGTTTCTGTAGGTTTTACCTATTATTACCGTGACATAAACAACTCACATGGTGGAACCATGTGGGATGCGATTTCGTTTGGCACGCGTGACGGCAACATTTCATCAGAGAACTCATTACATATTCCGATCGATTGTTGCAGCTGCTTTAATGGTTAGTTAAGATCGCGGAAAGCGTGAAGTGAACAAACCAGTCTGGGGAAGGGAGTCGGGAAGAAATATAAGACGCCGTATTTTGCTTGCCCTACCCCTTTTTCCTCCAGTAGTGTGCTATATTCTCACTTCTGTCTCCCTGGTGTATTATACTATTGCAAAGGTTACTTACACTTAAAGTGCTCACACGTATTCAAACTGATAGTGTTCCTTCCTTGACGGCTCACGGAACATTAGTGAAAGCGGAAACGAGCGAGCGAGCAGTCTCGCTTTTCATCAATACAATCTATTAAAATGATCACCTACTCATAATGTCTTTAATTGTGAAATGATGTCGCCAGTTTTTTCTTTTTAAATGAGTTAATGTCTGGCTTGATTCATTCTTTAACCATTTCATGAACTTTGACAATTGATGAAAGGGTAACGAAATGTAAAGTTAATTTAAATAAAAACTCCCTTTAAATAACATTCAATCCGCATATGTAATTATACTACTTCGATTTTCTGATACATACAAGACCGCGGCCATTCATGAAGCGTTCTTCAATTATTTAGTTTCGAAAGTAATCCTGGATTTGTTTGGATTTACTTTACTTCGATTTTGTGATTGGTCCACAAAACTCGCGTCACTTTCTCAACCAATTGATGCAAAGCTACAACCAATTGCGATCTTGGAACTCGTGTTTTCCTGTGCTTCAAGCAGTTTGGCTGTTTTTACTTCAAGCTCCCATTGTCTAATGCTGATGATGTTAACTTTTGTCATAATTTACCGTTGATCACTTTGACTTTGGTTGTTCTGTCGAAGAATGCTCTAAATAGATCCTTAGCCCTTTCACTCCCAAGATCTCATAAGCAATTCTCCTTACTGTCTCCCATACAATTCTTGTGATGTTAGTTGCGAGAATTTGGGTTTGGATCAACTGATAATCCCCTAATTAATATTTTTCCTTATTCTTCTCTTGTATGCTTGATAAATATATGTTATTTGCCGGCTGGGAGGTCCGTATGGTGAAAAACTCTGACCGAGGTCTTGAAAATACTGCAGCATTTTCAAGACTGAAGTCACAGTTTTTCACCATACGGACCGACCCTTAGCCGGTAAATAACATATTTATTGAAAAAATTTATCCGAAAGAACCCGAATGATTTAGGGCTATAAATACGGCAAGATCTTCCATAAACTGAACAATTTTTGAGTGAGTAAATGGTAGTTAAAATAGAGGTGATGCAAATTAAAGAGAGATGCCTCAGCGAAACATTTTCATTTCCGTAACGATAAAGGTGATTTTAAAGGCTTCCAAACAAACTTTGAAACATTATTTTTACAAGTATCTGTCACAATCTGACACCTGTCAATTAGAGAGCGCGCAAGAAAAAAAAGCGTAGGAACATTTGAAAAACATCAGACAGGACTGACTGACTGATCAGAACTAGTTTGGCAAGGTCTGTCACGACAATGTTTTCTTCAAAATCAGTCAATGATCTAACGGAAAGTATTATTCACTCTCATCGACCATTCATTCATGTACGAAGATTTACCTCTGTTCATTAAGTAAACGGCGAGGAAAGTAATTGTGAGTAAATTCAATTTTTTTACTTTGAAGTTGTGAGAGTTTGCTCGTTTGTTTGCTGCAATGGCGTGTGTGACTCTGGTCTTTCCTTCACGAAAACTAAATTCGAACGGCACACTCCAACGAGACACAAGGGAATTTAATGCGGCCTTTTCTAAAAAAATTCCTTCAATTTCTGTTGTGCAATTTACGGTACAAATGTCTAAATTGAACGGAATTGGAAAGACTCACCGGGAGCGTATATTTGTTGTAGAACTTAAATTAAAACTTCGCTCGCTCTTTCACTACGAACAAATTGCTCGAGAAAATTCAGATATTAAATGAATGAAAGTTCCATCGTTCAGTTTAACTGTAACCAAATACTTCACGTTTCAACTTTCTGGGTACTTTTGGTGAACGATTAAAATTAATTGCAGACGGGTTTTAGGCCGCTTGTCAACCAACGTAATGACACTATTGTTTATTCAAATTCATTCTGAAACCAATATTTTTCTGTCAACCAAAGTGATTTGATAGAGAGAAAAGAGAGGATTCATAAGTTATTTATCGGCTTGAGGTAGTGACCGATGTGTTTGCTTAAAAATACTGCCCAGCCGGAAAACGAGGTATATTTATGAAAAATGGCAACGAAAGTTGGGATGTACTCGGCGACTCACGAAAGCGTTACCGTGGCCCGTGGGCAGAGATAGGAAAATACTGACCGGGTAAAGAACCAATCAGATTGCAGGATTCGTTACCGTGCCCTCTAAAAAAACAATAATGCATTGATATTGTAAGGAGAAATTCGGTCAGTAATGGGAGTTAAAGGATTAAGGCGTTTATATTAGAGAGGTTGGCCAAACGTTTATACGGGAGGCGTGATTAGTGCCAAAACTAATATGTGATGCTTGAATCTACAGAAAGGCGAGCGTGATTCGTGAATTTATGAACCAATGTAAGGCGTGATTTGACCTCCTGAAATTTACGTGACCCGTGACTCTTGAATTCATTTCGTGAAAACCTCAAGATTTTCCAGAAACCCTCTGAACAAGAAGAGAGAGTTGAATTTTCCCTTTTATATGCGTAACGCGTAAATTTTTCTGGCATTCGTGCATGGAACGTGATCAGGAACCCCCTCCCCCCTTCTCCCTCTTTTACTATCCTCTTAATACTTGCCCCAGGTCACCTGTAAATTTTAATCACTCGCCCACTTCATCTGTTCCCACTGAACTTTGAGGAAATGATTGCTACCTAGACTACGAATACAAGAGGGTGATAATCTTTCAAGCTTTCGGTCTGGTTGAAGTATTCCCAAACTTTAGATAGGACCTAGTGTACAATTTTTTTGGGTCAATTAATTTGGTTTTAAACATCACCCTAAATTAAGATCCAAACTTAAATTCACAAAAGATTCATGAATTTTGGTTCTTACCATCAGCCCACGGGAAGAAATGTCCAGAATTAGAAGATCATTCTTAAAGAGCATCTTATCATACCACTGAGTTCATTTCATATCGATGATAGTATCATTTATCCCCGACGGGATCTATAAATAAATCATGGAACTACCATTGTTCTGTATACGCAACTAGTTCAAAATTCATCAGTGGTGTGCGCAAATGGCTTGTAAGGATGCAATATAATCTGTGGAACATCACATGGAGTAAATCTGTCCATATTTTATGGATGATCCAATGAAATAGGTCATTTCTTGATTTTTGTTGAGACAGCTGTGTCGCTCACTATATTCGCATAGTCGTCACATGCTGCGAGCGTCCTTGAGAGTTGACGATCTTGCCTCGTCCTAAAATTGCCCCATTCAAAATTCTTAACAAGATTTTTGGTCAAAGGTAAGTGTAGTTTTCGATTCTCATTAAAAATATAGGGATACTCTCTCGTGACTTCAGGGCCTTTCGAACAAAATCATAACAGCGTCAAGCTTCCTTTGTTTCACAATTACCAGTGGGTGTTGAGGCAAAGAAAGGCAAAATCGAGTTGTTTTGTCCCTTGATCCTTCAAATACTGAGCTGATCATGATAACAATGGTGTGGGAAAAATAATTCGAAATACCGACTTGAGATGATTTATTTCCTAATTTTCCTTTTTTTTTCTTTTTTTTTTCCGCAAAATCAACAAATACCCAAGAAAGAGATTTTTGATGGCGTCTCAACTTGACATCCATTAGCTGATCAAACTCAAAGTACGATGATTTTATGACAACAGATTTCGTAGCGAAAAATTTCATTTCTCTCATATAAATTGTCGAGCAGCTGTTTTAAAACGACAAACAGCTAAAAATTGAGCGACCACGGCGATTATAGGAACACTAACCACAAGTCAAATTAACATAATCAAAAGCCTAAAAGGATCGTAGATCCTAGGCCCCTGCCTGTGTCCTCTACCTGCACAGCAGAAGGTCAGCAGGGGGTTATTTTTCCTGCTCATAGCTCGCCAGCGGGAAATTTGGTATTCTTAAACAACCTGATATCGCTTCTTCCTTCAACCGAAAGATATAAACAAAGTATCAATCAAGCAAGGCAACTGATGTACCTTTTTTACTCCTGTGGTGGCTGTTATTCAGGAGATCTTGTGTTTGTTTGGAAAAAGCTCGCTAACAGGAACTTGTCCCGCATTACCAAGCTAGCATCAATCTTTGACCGTTGTGAACAACAAATCAGTCGAAGTACGTAGTAGCTTGTTTCTCGATCGCAAATACTTTTACGATGGGGTTTGACTCAAAAAATCCAGAAAGACAAGAGGACAAGTACATTTGAATGATTCCTCTCTTCATTTAAATATAGGATCATTAAACTGGTTTAAAAGAAATGTAAGATTTGAAGCTTTGTTGACTGAAGTGGCGTTCAAAGAAAACAATACTTCATGTGCATTCAATTTGAGTTAGTTTGGGGATAATCTTTCAGACTAAACAAGGTGGGAGATCAAATCCGTTCATCATAAGCCGTCATTAAGATTGGATTGCTGTTTGTCAGCACAGTAACGGTAATTAATGACTGAACGCTATGAAAATGAAATCATTTTCTTGGCAAACGAAGCATTATCCAAGTTCCTATCTACTATGTACAGAGGAATAAACTGATCCATTTCTTTAGAAAAAAAAATCTCGCGGACTAATAGCAGCTCAGAAAAATGGTTTCTCTGTTGAGCAGATTTAATCAAATGAAGTTTTCATTCAACTGGAACTGCTTACGTAAAAAGACGCCATCAAGTTTGCATAAATCATTCTTTAATAACAAAGTGACCCATACTGTCACGTCTATCAATAAGACCATGAGTTCGCTTGTGTAAATTGTCGAAAATAACCTTTTTATCCTCCTAATCTGAATTATGCAGGACTACGCCAACCCAGAGATGCCAAGCTATTTCGGTATGGCGAATGACACACATCCAACGAATGCAAATGGTAACGCTCTGATTTTAAAAAAAATTATATCATATTTTTATGTCCGTCGATCTTACGTCAAGATATTTGTACTATTATTTGCATGCTCGATTTGCATTTTTCATTTATCCGTTGATATAATTGTATACATCTAGTCGTACGAAAATAGAGCTAAATAACAGTTCATAAGTTTGATAGATTTAGCCTGAATTTAAAACTTTCTGTAAACCCTCTACATCCTTAGCCATCTCTTAGTTATCAGTTCTTCATATGTAGTGTTTATTTTCAATCTAAAAGCTATCTTTTCGAAGCTGAGAATGTTGATCATGACGTATATTCTTTTACATCTGTTACCTTAATCGTAATTGCTATGGTTATGATTATCATTATCATTACCCTTAGCATCACCGTCATCATCGTCAACATCTGCCATGTCACTCTCAGCTGATAACCTACGCCCAGAGTGCAAATATTACTTGCTTATATGTGACACCCATTGTTTCCTCCTATTCTTCAGACACAAAAGTCCTTCCTGACCAGAACTCAGTTACCACAAAGCTGCTATATCCCACTGGCCTGAAAATTGGCATGACCCTTGCATACGCTGTGATTTTTGTCTTCGCATTACTCGGCAACTCCTTCGGGTTGTTTGTGGTACTCAAGAAATCATCGCCCGTCGGCAGAATCACGAGCCTATTCATCGCTAATATGGCCGCGGCAGATCTCTTGCTAACATGTACGGTGATGCCATATCAGGTTGCTTATTTTTACAGAGGAGGAACGTGGTTCGGAGGAGCATTTGGTACCGCAACTTGTAAACTTTTTTCCTACGTTGTCACTGTTTCCATAGCAGCAACGGTCTTAACAATGTTAGTTATCTCGATTGATAGATTCCATGCAATATTCTATCCACTAAAAAGAAGATTATTTCGAAAACCAAAGATCTTATCGACCATAGTTTGGTTGTTATCACTTATATTGATGATTCCATACCCTCTTTATTCTGTTGTCGAATTAAACACAGGACAAAACGCATACAAGTGTTCCCAGCTTTCATCAAAAACAGACCAAGACGTTATTAAGATCTTCCATGTTTGTCTTTTTACTACCCTTTATGCATTACCTCTTTTCTTTTTGGTTTTGCTTCATCTTTTGATCTGCCGAAAGTTGTGGCTTCGCAAAATCCCAGGAAACGTGTCGCGTGACAGTCGAACTGCTGCTGACAGATCTAAACGCAAGATTGCGCGGTTGTTGATCATAATTGTCGTACTGTTTGCGCTCTGTTGGTTTCCAACGTATGTCAATCACTACTTTTGGTTCATCCGCCAAGAATCCAAGCTACCTATTGGGTTCGAGTTCTTTTTCTTGTGGTTAGCGCACGCAAACAGCGCCATAAATCCATGCCTTTACATAATGTTTAATGATCATCTTCGTTCTACACTGATTTCCACTCTAAAATCATGTTTTTGCCGAAGATGTCCCTGTTTTAAACAAGCTTATCGACCGATTGTTCGTCTGTACCAAGCGAAAAAGACAACCGTGGTATAACAAATATGGATTTAGTTCCGCTTATCGAACCCTCCTGTGATTAAGACGAATTTAATTCAGCCCAACTGTCATAAAGTACTGTGGCTTTAACAGCACTTAAAAAAAATTCGTTTGCCTTTGTAACTGCCCTATGGGAGGGGAATATCAAAACGGCCACTCAACATGGCTAAAAGTTGATCTACTAAAGCTGACATGAGCCAGTTTCTTAAGTAATACTGTTGAGAAAAAAAGATGATAATCAAAAACAATTTCGCGGTTTCTTGAGGGGACTCTTCGTTATATGCCCTACGAAGCTGGACAAGTTTTATGATAATGATGTACGTACGTGTATTAGCTTTCTTGTAAACACTAGATGTTAGAATTGCTTAGCTCAAACTTAATAAACGAAGAGATGTCTTGATTTTCGTTTGATTCTTTTTGTCAAATGTTATCTCGTCAATTTGTCCCAGATACCTATGATTACCTGAATTTGTATTGAAATTAGCCTGTGCTTTTGCTAGTTTGCCTTAAAAATTATCGGATATTTTATTCCTGAATTAACCTCGCCTTAATTATCGGACACGAGGGGAGAAGGAAGATTGTATCGACTGTAAAATCTGGTGGGAAAAGAGATGCGGATGAAAACTTCTTGATTATTCAGTCATTGAAACAAGTTAGGCCTGCGGAGTTACGGATCATGAATGCCAATGCATAGTTGCATACACAGGAGAAATGTGTAGTACATTACAGTTTAATAAAAAATGCCCATGATTTCCACACATGTATCAGGTTTTGACATTAATGTATTTTAAATATGGAATAACTATCATAGCAGACCACTCCTTCTTCCACTTTCTGACCAGACTCGTTAAACACTTAGCTAAATACTTCCTATCGATGGATTTACACCATAGTTTCTTGGTACAGTCCACGCGGACGGTTTTGACAGGCACTAGCGACAGGTTCCATACAAAAAGCTCTGTCTTCACGTTTTCTTGCGGGTTGCTTGTTTGTTCGAAATTCTGTCGGTATAGACTTCTGTGGAGAGGGGTGATTTGCACATGCACTTATTGCATGGAAGGGTGACCTGAGCAGTGCAATAGATACGTTAAGGCATGCACAACGAAATCTTTTGTTAAAAGCCATGTACAATAAAGGGTTTATAGCACTGTTTGAATGTGACACCCAAAACAACAAGTAACCTGTTAATTTGGGAATTTTGGCCTGTTTTGAAAGGAAAAAGTAATGCATCACGTGTGCGGGTAACCAGCACAACGTGAATGCCAAGACAATGATCATTAACATTTTGACAACGCTCCGCCTCCGTAGTTCACTTGCCGTCCTGGAGTTGGTTCCTCGCGCATTGTGAAACCACAAGCGTCGAGCAGTGATGATGTTCAGGAAAGATATTCCTAGGAGGGGGAGGACATAAAACAGGACGAACAAGATGATGTAGAATATCTTCAAGACTGGCAATACCTCTTGAGGGTCGTCTGTCCATGGCAAACCTTGCAGACAAAAATGGGACCCCCTATAGTGAACAACGTTGAAGAGGAGCAGATAAGGACTCATAGAAATCAAAGAAATGAGCCAGATTACTGCTGTTAACGTTTTACCGTTTCGGAGCAAGGTTTGACGCAGTGGACAATAGATGGCGCAAAATCTTTCAAGAGAAATAACCACCATTGTTATTATGGATGCAGCAATAGAAACAGGTAAGGCGTAGAAAATTGCTTTGCACGTGACTGTGCCAGCAGGACCTCCAAACCATTGGTTTGGCTTGAAAAACATGTGCAGTACTGAGTATGGCATGATAGTCAATGTCACTAACAAGTCAGCGATTGCCAGGTTCTTGATCAAAAGATTGGTTAATTTTCTAGTGACTGCTTTGACGAAGACCACGTACAATCCGATGGCGTTTCCAAATAGCGCCACTATAAAGATCACAACGTAAAACGAAATTACCAGGATCATCTGAGAGTTTGACAAAAGCTGTTCACCAACGGATGGCGCATCATCGGTGGAATTCATCCCTTGAAAAATGAAATGCAAAAAAATTTCATCGATCATTTTAGGAGCGTCACTTTCGAGTCATTTTCAACTTTTTTATGATTTGAGGATTATATGAATATATCGAAAAATAACAAAACTCTTTGGACCATCGTTGTAAGCTCGTCAAGAATTTCTTTTGTGAGCAATTAAGAGAAATTTATAGCTGCAACCCAAGCTTTCAGAAATGCCAGGGCCATGAATTTTATAAGGCCTTCTTCATTGAGTCGGTAAAATATAGAAGTAAAAAGCCTTCGCCCGATGTTTTGGCGTGACTCAATTGTATTACTTATCCTATTTTACCGGCGTTGATATCGTGCCTCTGGTTTCCATAGATATTTGAGAGGTCAAACATGATGTTACTCGAAACGTCAACAGTACAAATTGATCACAAACTGCCCATTTTCAGCCGTCTGTACACTAAAATGATGAATTGCATTGGCTATGAATAAGAGAAATTGCATGTGCTAAAAAATTGCAGGCAAATTTAGTCTTAAAATAAAAAGTATCGGTGCTTTTTGATAGTCGAAAAAACACCCGAGTTTCTTTCGCCACTAACAGCTGTTTTGGGAAATGTTCTCCCACGGAACGGTGGAAAGCGTACACAACGGTTCCTTAAGATCATATACGAAAAGGTTCATGTTAAAGCTTGATTGACTTTAGGATTGACTTGGCTTTGTCGTATTCCGTAATCAAAGAGTATTCGAGCGGTATTTCTTACTATTTCTTTCCAACAAAAGGTTCTTTTCTTCAATTTTGTATCTAAGAACAGAGGCGTAGATATAATTCCTGTATGCGACAGGAATATTGTTCTATTTCAATGAGATACTTATTTTTTTCTAAATATAATTATTTTCATTCCTTATATTTGAATACTGCCAGAGATATGCTAAATCTTCCTAACAAAACAACTCAGTCTTAAGCTCAACCCCGGTAATTTCCTCAAGCGCGATTTATTATTGAGTTCTATAACAATTCTCACTCAAAGCCTTGACACTCTTCTAAATTTGGTTCTTTTAAATTGAGTGTAAATATTTGGTTATCTCTTTTGGTGCTATCACATGTAATTGAACTTTGATGGATTTTATAATGAAAATAAATTTCCCATATAAATAGAAACCGAAGACGCGAGGGGACGTCAATTGGCAATGGCCAGCGTGCCATTACAATACTTGAAAAAAAGAAGTAAACGGAGTTGATCAGAGCATTGATTCAGTGTAATACGCTCAGGTAAGATATAGACAAATCTCACCTCTCTTGATATTTTCCTAAGTAAACTCTATGCGGCGCTGTCGAAGCAAAAGTTATCACGTTGAATCATGGGACATAAATGATAAAACATCGTTTTTTGTTTAAATAAAGTGATCATTGTATCAGCAGACACGTTTCTTTGCGCTGGTGTTGTAAATGAATGTCTAACGAACCGTTTGAACTGAGGTTATTTACGGTCAGGATCTACGCCATCATATTCTTTGCCAAAGTGGTATGGAGCCTGTACCAAGGACCGCCAGTGAAGTTGGAGGCAAATTTAAGTAGAGTGAGTTGAGTTTTTATGAGTGTGTAAAAAAACTAGCGACACAGGTGTTTGCAGCAAGACACAATGTAATCATTTTACCGAAGAAATATTAGCATTTTAGTACTTCCCCTTCCGAAATTCTCACCAGTTTTAAGAAAATAACCATGGTCGAATATTACTGGCAATTGGTTGTTTTCTTTCATAGTTTATAGATATATTTTATAATTGCTGTGAAAAACAGTCAGAGCCCCGGCTGAATGACGCCCCACCTGATCAGCTCAGCTGCGGTTTTTCAACTTCTTATGCAAGAATATTTAATTTGACACTGAAGCTCCTGATGTTTTAATAATCGTCAGCTATTTCGTTAGCATTTGGCGGGGGCAGAGGCGGGGGTGGGGGCGCAAATATAGGGGTTGGGGGTGAGAAGTTAAGAGGGGTGACCGTTACCTCCCCTACCCTTCCCCAATATGGAGTAAATTTTTCAATTCGTGCTTTGCAAACTAGCGAAAAATAATCTCCCAACGGTATGTATTATCAAGGGACTTGGAGTGAGTATTCTAAGAGAGCATCCTCAAGTTTGTTTCAGTGCCGCACACTTTTTCGCCTATGTCATATTTTTAAAAAGGGAGAAGAAAAAGAAATATAAAATAATATTTATTCATTAACTTGAATTTTTGTCGATTCGTACAGTTTTTCGGGCTTGATCGTATTTTTCGAAGATCGCTGTTTTTATTTTTCGATGAATTATTCATTTTTACATTTTTTTTCTCTATTTTAACAACAACAAATCTTTTTTTATGATGCAAAGAAAGGAGAAAACGGAGGAGGGCATGCCCTGTTAGTCAACCTATACTTTTCCATATATCTAAGCAAAAAGATGCAAATATTAGAAAGGAGAACTGGCTATGGATAAGAGAGCTTACGTTTGCTAAAAAAATGCAGGAAAATTTAATCAACGTAAAAGTGTCACTGCCTTTTTGATGGTCGAACAAACACCCGAGTCCTTTTGCCACTAACAGCTGTTTTGGGAAATGCACCTCCACGGAACGGTGGAAAGCGTACACAAGGGTTCCTTAAGATCATGTACGAAAAGGTTTATGTTAAAGCTTGATTGACTTGAATATTGAATCGGCCTTGTCGTATTCCATATTCGAAGAGTATTTCTAGCATTATTTCTTACTATTTCTTTTCAGCCAAAGGTTCGTCCCTTCAATTTTGTATCTACGAATGGAGATACAGATATAATTCCTGTATACGACAGGAATACCGTTCTATTATCTCCTCTAATGTAATTATTTTCATTCCTTATATTTAAATACTTCTAGAGATATGCTAAATCTTCCCAACAAAACAACTCAGTCTTTAACTCAACCCCGGTAATTTCCTCAAGCGCGATTTATTATTGAGTTCTATAACAATTCTCACTCAAAGCTTATCCACTCTTCAAAATTTGGTTCTTTTAAAATGAGTGTAAATATTTGTTTATCAATTTTCGGTGCTATCGCATGTAATTGAACTTTGATGGGTTTTATAATGAAAATAAATTTCCCGTATAGACAGAAACTGAAGACGCCACGCTAAGTCAATTGGCAAAGACCAGCATGCAATTATGACACTTGGAAAAAAGAAGTAAACGGAGTTGATCAGATCATCAATTCGGTGTAATACGCTTAAGTAAGATACAGTCAAATCTCACCTCTCTTGACGTTTTTCTAAGTAGACTCAACGCGCCGCTGTCAAAACAAACTTATCAAATTGAACCGGGGGACATAAACGATAAAATATTCTTTACCAACGTGGTATGGAGCCCGCACTAAAGAACACTCGTGAATCTGTGAGGCAAATTTAAGTCGCGTGAGTTGAGTTTTCATGAATATTTTAAAAACATAGTGAGACAGGTGTTTGCAGCAAAACACAATGTAAACAGTTTACCGAAGAAATACAAGCATTTTAGTTACTTCCCCTTCCGAAATTATCACCATTTACAAGAAAATAATTAAGGTCCAATGTTATCAACAATTGGTTGTTTTCTTAGTTTAGTCAATGTCAGTTTTCTAGTTTATCGTTTATGTTTATAATTGCTGTGAAAAACAGTCAAGGCCTCGGCTGAATGACGCCCCACCTGATAAGCTCAGCTGCGTTTTTTCAACTTCTAATGCAAGAAAATACAGGTATCATATTTTTAACTGGACGTCAAAGCTCCTGGTGTAATAATAATCGAAAGGTAAGTGGTTAGCATTTGGTGGGGGCGGGGGCGGGGCGGTTTGGGGTGAGCATTTACGAGGGTGTCGTTACCCCCCGCCCTTCCCCGGTGTGAAATGTTCAATTCGTGCTTTGCAAATTAGCGAAATATACATACCAATAATTTATATTGGTATGAGTATTTGAGGATCACTTTTTTATTTTTTGATGAATTATTCATTTTCATTTTTTCTTCCATTTTAACAACAACAAACGTTTTTTTATGATTGTAAAGGAAGGAGAAAATTAATGGAGGGTACGGATGCTCTGTTACCTAACTTACACCATGTATCTTAACAAAACGATACAAATATCAAAAAGGAGAAAAGGAATCATACCTTAAAGGGTCCTTAAACAAAATATAAATAAATAGTTCCAGGTCCAGATAGTAGTACTATTACTGAGAAAAGTTATCCATGAAAAGTGCTCCTTTTAACAGTTTTAAAGTAGGCTTCTTCCATGTAGATATAGGAATATCAGTTCAATAGAAGTTATAACATAGCTAGTAAATTTGTCCAATCAAATTCAATTCCGTGAGCGTGCTTCATATTCCTATTGTACACGCTCATGACGTCAGCAAGCAAATCCCTCAAGAAAAAAACATTTTCTCCGCGATTTTTTACTTTGGGATTTTACTATTAAAAGACTAGTTAAGACTTCGGCGGCAATTTAAGCTAAACATGGAAAGTTGTGTGCCAGCTGATGAAGAACAACTGCCTACTTTTTCTTCGGAATGGAGTTTTTAATTCCCCAAAAAGAACGGAAAGAAAAATAAAGGTGCTATGCATCCTTGTTTTTCTTTTGGATAAGAGAATTTTGTATTCAATCAGAAAATAAAGTTCATTTACACGCATGAATTCACCTGTAAGTTTTTTGACCAATCTAAGACAAGATAGTTTACAGCGTAGCGAAATGTTTTCCTGAAACAAAATTATCAACACGCTGAAGCGTAGCAGAGGGAATATTAACCCTTTTACAACATTTAAACCATCGGGTTGAAAATGTTATAAAACATTTGGTTCATACGTCAGGTGTGCGTTCATCGAGATATGAAGCACGCGGGAAGTTTGGAGAGCACTCAAGAAGCTAGAGTTACTCTTACGCATCTTTCCTGCTCTCCAAACTTTCCGCGTGCTTCATATCTCGATGAACGCACGCTGACGTATGAACCATTTGTTAATCGGACAGAATTTCCTAACATTTAATCCGAAGGGACTGGGATTCAGGTGCTTCAAAGATGTATTTCGAGTGGCATAATCTTGAATAGTTCTCAGATACAAAAGACAATGCACAATAAGACAGGTTTTTTTAATGTACAATATGATCACAAAACAGTTGACACGTACTTAAGTTTATTATATCATGAGGCTTAATCAGACCAAGGTTTACATAATGGGGAGTGATATTTTTTATTTCCTTTTTGTTATCTCCTTAGTTTCTTTACTTCTCTTTAGCAGTTACTGCCAGTGGGATTTCTCCTTGCTTTCGTGGCAGCACTTGGTACCCTTTTTGTAACTGAGTATCTGTTGGGGACCATCTGTACCCGTAAATTAGTAGGAGATCATCGTGATACCTTAAGTTGGCAAAAACGCGCGAATTCAAAGAATCTTCGAGGTATAATTACTTCTCGGTGTGAAATTCGTAACTATGATATCCCCCTCCACACACTCACCCTCCCCTCTTCCCCCTATGGCAATTCTATTACCTGAAAGCTGGAAATTTAAGAGCTCGGTTAATTGTTTACCTACGAAATAAAGGAGAAAATTCAAATGCAGCAACTAACGACCCCACGTGAATCGATTTGAGACACTTCAAATGTCAGCTATAGGCAAGAAAACGAAAGTTTTGTCAAAGTAAATCGTAACTTAAACGCCATAATTCTGCAGCCGAAGTACATTGAACACAAGGGCATCTTCGCTTTCACATCAATGAATACTAGTTCGTATAAACCCCCTAACATTGGAGAAATTGTCATTTTTAATTTCATCAGTGTTACCTAACTAGACTTAACTAACTCCGGAAAATTTGGAATAATCTTCTAGTTGGTTGGGGAAATCAGGACGTAAAACAGAAAAAGCCTTAATCAACTAGACACAATCGTTATATATATGTCAATCAATGAGAAATTATAATGGTCCTTTTTTTGATTCATCTTAAAATATAAATTGCCTGTTCATGTGAAGATTTTTTTCGCCACTAGTTTATCCATATAACCTCAAACATTACGTTGATACCGATACAACTAACTGATGAACAATCACGAAATTTATTTTAACGGAAACACTTGATCAAGTTTTGGCACTTTCCTCGTCATGAAAATTGTATGATCATCAGATTTTCCACGTTTCAAAATTGATTTTCAAGTCAAGTGCAAGCAATTGAAATAACTTTTAGAACAGTTAACTCAGCTAATGTTTTTCTCTCTAAAGCCTGCGCCGTACACAGAGATTTAAAGCTTAGTGTCATAGTTCACCTTTTCATTGTCTTGTGCACGTTCTGAAGAAGGTGCAACGCGAAACGAGTGCGCTTTCTGCCGGAGTACCACAAGACGCTCACTTGTTTGCAGTTCCGGCACGGATTGCTCTCCAGAGATGTACCCTACACATGCACTGACTGCGTGTACAGGACACATGACCATTGCAACATAGGCATCCATAAATGCCAAACGAAAAGCTCTGTTGAAGGCGATGTATAACAAAGGATTTATCGCACTGTTTGCATGCGACACCCAATAAAGCAAATTCGCTGTCAACGCGGTAATTTGGGCCTGTTCAAAAAACACGAGGTAATGCATCACATGTGTAGGTAACCAACACAGCGCAAAGGTCAAGACAATTACGACTAACATTTTGACAACTTTCCGCCTTGAGAGTTCAACGGGTGTCCTTGGAGCACTAGAGATACTTCCTGGTATCCTGTGAAACCACAAACGGCGACCAATGATGCTGTTGAGTACGGTTATAATGGAGAGGGGGACGGGATAGAGCAAAACAAATAAAACAACGTAGAATGTCCGCACGGCCAAAATTTTGTCCATCGGGTTATTTGCCCAAGGCCAGTCTTGAACACAATAAGAGTACTCCCCCACGTTGAAAACATTGTATAGTAACAAATATGGCGTCGTGGAAATCAAAGAAATGAGCCATATCGCCGCTGTCACTGTTTTATGCTTCTGGAAAACGGCCTGATTGAGTGGGAAATAGATGGCCCAAAATCGATCCAGAGAAATGACCACCATCGTTGTCACGGATGCAGCAATTGAAACAGGCATGACGTAGAAAAACGCTTTGCACGTGACTGTCCCAAAAGTTCCTCCAAACCATAGGTTTGGTTGAAGGAACATGAAAAGCACTGAGTATGGCATAATAGTCAATGTCATTAACAAGTCAGCGATTGCCAGGTTCTTGATCAAAAGATTATGTATTCTCTTAGAAGTTGTCTTCAAACAAACTACGTACAATCCAATAGAATTGCCAAATAGAGCTACTGTAAAGATCGCCACGTACAGAGTGATCAACACAACCTTCTCGGTGTCTGTGTAAAGCTGTATAACTGAGGCGGTATCGTTAGAAGAATTCATCCCTTTGTTTAAAGATAAAAATCATAACTGTTACTTCTGCTTAATTTTAAGAGCCAGGATTGAATCAGATAAGTTAGGAACTAAGTAACTTCCCCGCAAATGTTTAAGGCTTGCACGTGACACATTCTTAGCTTCCTCCTCCTATTCCATTTTTTTTGACCAACTTTCGTATTCTCCGCCTCATTACTTATTTCTTAGAAAACCTGCATTCCACCATGAAACAAACTTCCCATTTCGGGGCTTAACGAGCAGCTTAAATTTACCGAAACTTTAAAACACTAGGGAGCTTCAGATAACATGACAGCGACGCGTGGTAAAACGTCCCCTTTTTAAAAGATTGAACTTTTTTTACTCTTGGAAAATTTTCTCAGCAACTCGATGAATTAACCGTTTCTGATATTGTAAGATCCTCCCCTCCAGCATAGCATGTGGATGTTCAAAGCACAAACTTGACCTACTTTACGTACGTCGAGGTTCCCGTTCTTAAAGGAGACAAATTTTGGTGATATCACGTTTTCTTTTACGAAATGTTCAAAGTGTTATAATTGCGTCCGCTGAGCTATTGCTCTGGCTCTGGTTGTTCGACGGTCTGATAACGCTATCCACAGGATAAATCTCTATCCGATGGATAACGCTATACGCTTTGCTATCATTCATCCGCTGGATAGCGATTTATCCGTTGGGTAGCGTTATCAGCCCTTTATAAAACTGGGCCCTGGTTGCTAAATCTTTTGTTCCTCTACTTTCACGGTTCCGTCACCGACGTGGTTTCATAAAATTCCTGCTATTGGCTCACTTTCCACTGATCCGTTTTCTATATCCTTCCTTCGCCCTACTAACAGCCCGAGATCTTTACTCAAAATATTTTTAAGCCGAGATCTATTCGTTTTGGTCATTCTCGGTTAACCCTAATCCTTGCAAGTGAAAAGTCAACATGTGTGAGGGTTTTTCTGATGCAGTCATAAATTTTCTTCAGTAACTTAGGAGAATCGTAAAATTTCAATGAAAACCATAATAGCAAATCAAAATGATACCCAAAGGATAAAAATGATGAGAAGGGATTTGAAAACACGATCAGTTTTAAATATAGGACAGTTTCCGAGGCTCTCTGCAAGTGACAAGTATGCAGAAAGGATGATTTTTTGTCAAATTTTGATCCTTACATCCGATTCCTGATCTTCTCGCTTCTAATTTTTGGTCTTTTCCATGTATATATTCGTTAACACTTGCTTAAATAATCAGACTTTGCCTTCAAGCCATACATGGTTTTATGCGATTCCAATTCGACATTTACTGCTCTTACCTTAAGTTTATTCCAACGAACTGATATGTAAAAGTACTCGGTTATACCGAACGGGGATACCTAAATGGAGGCAATAGTAAAATTTTAAGGATAATGTTCAAATATCCTGCGTTTGTAAAGTACTATACTGCTAAGGGTATTGACTGCTCCAGAACCTAGCGTGAGCCAGAAATCTCCCTATTAGTCACATCTGACCCTGGTATCTTTAGCGCGTAATTGCTAGACTTGAGCGGTGAGCCACTTGCTAGCCACAAGAGAAGCTTTAAAAATATTAAGGTTAGGTGGTTTTCGATTGAAATTAAGCAACACTAATGTTATTTACACCGGATGCATTTTCGTCGCAAAGGAAAAAATAAATACTTGCAGGTGTGAATTATTTAGGGAGAATTTACAATACCAGACTATTTGGTAACCCACAATGAGACAAGGCTGTAGGATGGCAAATAAGTAAGAATTGTTTTGAGAAAAGATAATCACTTCTTTAAAACCTCCTGCATTATCTACAAAATTTCCTAAAATATTTTTCATTCCTATGTAATTTAAGGAAGTAATTACCATCTGTAAAATAAATTTATCTTCTTGATTTAGGCAACTGAAACAGGTTTATCTGTTTTGGTAAAAGCATATTCACTATGGCCACTGAACACTTTAAAAAGAGATAACTACTAGAGAAACCTTCACTAATTTCGTTTTTCACCATTAAACGCGCGATCCTGACCGATCGATGTCCCTCATTCTTACCTGTGTTAGAAACGAAGTATCAGACACTTTCGAGCCTGGAATAACTTTCAGACTGGATTTTATATTCATGCCAGCTTAACTTATGACATCGTACGAGCAAGAGCTTCGCGTCAAAGACTTATGTTCTAAAATTTATTCGTCAAAGCTGGACACTGCTAGCCTGTAGTGATATTAATTAAAGTTAGCTGTCCGCTTAGGTGATGACATTGACAGTTCTTGGGAACTTCTAAATATTAAACTGGCGCCATTGTAATCATCCAATGTAATCAAAAGTGACAGACTCATAGGAAAGAAAGCACAAAATGGCTCTTTAGACAAACATTTTTTACGCGATGTAGACAAATTTCTATGAAAATCGGAACTAATATATTAATTTCAACCCCAGTAGAAAACAATGGGAAAATTAGTGATAAGTGCATGCAGACCGCGGATGATTATTAAGTCAGAATTTTCAAGTTTGAAGAAATCGACATTGCGCAATTTTCAGTGAAATAATGAAATAAAAAACCTCTTTGGTTATTACATTGAGATGTAATTCAGTTTTCGAAAATAATGTAGCATAAAACTTCTCTTAATTTTTTTTCCATCAAGCTGATCAAATGATCGAGACCAAAAAAGAAAACCACTCCCTAAATAAAAAACCTTTAAAGCATTTAAAATTGTTTATTAGTCTTGGGAAAAAGGATTACGACTTCTTGACATACTGTATCCGAGATACTTATCCGACTCTATTGTTCAAATGAACTTAAGCACCTAATAAAGTTACATTTGAGGTCACCATATTTATCACTTATTACTTTTGGCACACCCTGGCAGAGTAAATAAAACGATATTAAAAAACCTAGGGTACATCAGGAAGCACTTTTTGGCCAATCCTTCGGAACTTACACTTCAGCTTGTCAACTTCAGCTTGTCAGTCTAAAAGGAAATAAGAAATGTTGAGCAAAATGTGGATTAAGAGCAACCTCAGGTGATTTTGTTGTTGTTATTTTTTGTTTTGTTTTTTGTTTTTGTTGTTGTCTTGTTTTTCTTGTTTTATGTTGTCCGTTTATTTTTTATGTTGAGCAAAATGTGGATTAAGAGCAACCTCAAGTGATTTTGTTGTGGTTATTTTATCAGTTACAAAATAAAACAGTAGTTCCATGAAAATTCCTCAAGCAGTGAAGTATATGGTAAAATTTACCCATTTGACTCCACGTAGAGATTTCGATTTGTATCAATGAGATAAGCAAAAGGCAGGCCAAATCAGGCTTGATTGGCTGAACAAATGCATTTTCTGAAATGAAAAAAATGAGTTTGGGTTGGCCGTCAAGCCATAGAGAACACGAATGATGAGAAACAGTGATGCATCTCTCGTTTTCTTGAAAATTTATCTTTACTCTGTTAATTAGTCGAACCTTATTGCATTGTGACAAGAATTATAATTGAAAGAGTGGTTGCCCAACCACTGCATTTCAAGACTGAAATTGAACTAGCAAAATGCATATTTGGGTGAACATGGCGTTGATTTAATTCTAAATCAGCTCTAGTTTTGAAATCAGTTGCTCACTAAATGAAATTACTGATTTGTCAATTTTATTATTGTATTCCTAATAGTCAGGAATTGAATTTCTAGTGAATGCCTTATTTCGAGGCCTTCCCAGAATAAAAGAAGTCGTTTCCCAACGAAGAATGTCGACATTGACTCTTACCAAGAGAAATTACCAGAACTAAATTCAATAAAGAACATCACTTAAGAAAAAAGGAAGAAAAGGAATTCAATAAAATTAATCAACTTCCTTACCAAAGTACATGAAAGGCTTTTAAGAAATTGACTGTTAAGTGTGTAGCAAGAGCGTGTTACAAGACGCTTCTTTTGGAAGATCTGCAGTTCGTTTCAGCTCAACCATTAAAGGCGAATCAGTGCTTGAGGGAAAGTAAAATATATTTGAAAAACACAGACATGTGCATCAATAATAAATCAAATGGATCCATTCATACACTTGCCAGAGCGAGAGTGAAATGGCTCAAACAGGATATTGGCTCCCCATTGTCACGTTTCCGTTCCACTAAAGAATCGGAAAGGTCTGTCTTAAATGCACGTAAATCATTCAGTTGAAAACGAAATAAGCTTGCGTTAATTACAAAATAATCAAAAGAAACGTTAATTACAAAATAACAAGGAAAAACATAACCAGAAGAAAAACATCAGTTCGAGGAAAAAAAGAGGGTTGGTAGAGAATATTTCAACACGAAGACCTCGTCGGTGGTTTCGTTGTGTTAATGAAAATCGAAAGGGGAATGCACGCAAATAACTGAAAGCAATAAATATCGTGACGAATAACATGCCCTCGAGTTTTTGATATCTCCTTTTAAGGCTAAACAAGAGTAAAGTGAGAGGAAAAAGCAGAAAAGTCAAAGCTAAATTACGTTCACAAAATGAAAGTTTCCTGTTAAGGCAATGCTTAAATATATGTTTTGAGTTTCATTTAGTAGATCTAATGCAACGGGGATTAAACTTGATAGAGCTCCAGCTTATAGCGTAATCCTATCAAAGGCTAATATATTTTAAACTTCTAAAACTGATTCTTAGTGTGAAGATTAAAGTTGAAGCCTGTCTGTAAATACTTGAGGCTGTGCTATGGTGAGGGGAAAAAAATTTACCAATCGATGAGATGGAGAAATTTCAGTGAAAATATTATATTCAAAAGGTGATCGTGACTTACTCTTTAATTTAAATCTTGCCTCAGTTGTTATGCGTTTCGTTGTAGATGTTTTTCTCTTTAAATCACAAGAGACAAAATTCGTTGGTTTCGCAGGACTCGAGTCAACGAACACCTGCTCCAGCAACTATGGTCAACCAAGTTTTGTGGCTTAGTTTAAAAGTTATTGTCACAGAATTTTGAAATCGTCTTTCAAGGCCTAGATTGTCTAAATCTGATGTCGAGTAAGGAGCCTATTTATGCACATGAGTTAATATATATATATATAATAAATATCATGTACATGTTTTGGAGGTAAACTGAATCCGTTGCTTCATTCGCACTGACGATGCTTTCTTAGCCTCTCTGTTTCGAAAAAGATTTGAAAAGATTTGCGGCACCATTAGCTTATGACTAAATTCCTCAAGGAATGGAAAAAATGAATCTCCACGAAACCGAAAACTCGCAGAACTAGTTCAGTATCAGCCTTGAATTACTCGCAACACGCAATTTTCGATTTAGTGTCGTTATTGCAGAACAATTTACGAAAGATAAAACTTGATAAAAGCGTGGGAAGACGTTTGTCAATCACCAAATATTTCTCAAGTCACGATTGTTTTAACTGTGTGTCTGATTGGCTACGAGAGTGGCACAAGTTTTCGGCTAATAACCTGACTCAAAACTATTCTGAATTACTGTCAACTTTCATTGCAGATGTCCATTTAGCTGAAAATTAACTGAGCACTACGGGACTTACCAGGTTTGGGCGGAATGCTGAAAGATCAAATTTTATTTTATAAAGCAGAAAAAAATTTTTGTTGGTGCTTACCTTTAAAAATCGAAAATTGTCGTGTTTAGTATCCTCATCATATGAAAAATGAACCCAAAAAACTAAGAATTGAAATAAAACTTTCTCTGCAAAACAATTACACATGCAAATAGCTATTGTAAGAAAAAATTGTCATTTTGATGGGTAAAAAAAGTTAATTAACCAAAGAGGGAACAACGGATAGCAAGAGTAAAATTTAAATTCGATTTGTAAAAAGAAATAAAAAAGAGTCGTTTAGGAAACCTAAGTTGGATCGATCGCTCTCCATCTTAAGCGCACAAGCTAAACACATCATTATCGAACGAAACAGATTATTTTGCCCGCCTTTAATTAATTTGAAATGAAGCAATGGCATGCGATTTTATATTCAAGATAGTAGAGGAAACAAAATTAGACGTGACCAAACGGATGTTTCATGTTTAGTGTGAGGCTGCCCATGATGTGCTGAATATTTTCTTCATAAATTACATTCTACCCAATCCTTGCATCGGGAACGTCAGCAATATTTTCCTACCTCTCTCTGAACCTAAACATTGTTTTGCTAAAGATAACTGAGGCTCAACGTAAAATGCAATGAGTGGATTTCACATTTGTGAACTTCTCAGGGTGTTTTCTAGTCACAGCTGTCTGTTAGATCGAATTCTTATGGTCTGTTTGATTGTTTACCCAATCACTAGATTGGTATAAATAAAAAAATTTGACTCAACTGGCAGAAGTTCTGAGCTAGATACTTTGTAATCTTTACCGCACAAGATATCTTGTTATCCTTGTGATATGAAAAAATCTATAACTAACATAGAATTAATCTA